CCCTGGCTCTGCCAAGCTGAAGATGCTGCCCAGAAGTCACAGTGGAGGCTCAGAAAATCACCCTTTAACATCTAAACTCAGAATTGTAAGCCTTTAGAAACTCAGCTGATAAGAGATGATAACTATTTTCCACCTCTCCAAAGGATAAAGAGTTCCAATCGCAGCTCCTCAGAGTCCTTCCAAGAACGTCTCACTCACCAGATCTATATTTTGCATGATGTCCTGGAAGGAAGGATGAGTCCGAAACTGCTCAAACAGATCCCGCTTGTAGAGCAGCGCGTAGACCAGGTTGGGGTTGTGGTGAAGAGAGTTGGCCAAGCAGGAGTTGATGATCTCCAACATCATGCGGATGACTTCCTCAATCACATTCAGGTCTTGTGCCTTTAAGAGAGAAATTCAACATGAGTGTGCCCTTCTCTGTCCTAAAATACATGAGGTAATAAGGAAAGCACATAGGTAATTATTACTAATGGAGCTATTAGCTGGTTGACATCTCAAGCATGTCTGGATCTGGGAAGAGAGGTGTTTCCTCTTGTAAGAACCAACATTTTCCCCAAAATTCCAAGCAATCAGCCTCATAGCTTGATTCTCTCAACAGGAACCATGTTCTCGAGCCAGAAAGCATTAACAGATTGTAATCAGCCATTTTCATTAAGGGTTGAAATAAACTTTTGTCTTTTTGCATGTTCTGGAGCCAGAAAGCATTAACAGATTGTAATCAGCCATTTTCATTAAGGGTTGAAATAAACTTTTGTCTTTTTGACCCTTCTTCCACCAAGTAAAAGCACTTCAGGACACATTTAGTTTAAATACATTTTCTGTTCAAGTCCCTGCTTGGGGAGAAGGGATGGAGAGAGGAAAAAAAGTATCAGGAGAATGGAAAGCTGCTGGTGAAAAAGAAAAGCAAAGACGGGAGAAGAAAAACTGACTGGGATGAAAACCCACCACAGCTTCAACATCTGCCACCATTCTACACACCTTGACCTTGGCTTTTTTCCATCTGTATTTTTTTTTTTTTGCATTGAATAAGACTTGTAATAAACGGAAGATAGAAAAAAAGAAACCTCCTCTTGTAGTGTGCTAAGCCTTAATGCTCAAGATAAACCTGTGGAGCTTTCCACCTTGTCAGTGCCTTTGACAAAACACTCCTGATGATTTTGAAATTCCAGCCCTGCCAGCTTTCTGGATTCCTCTCCTTGGGCTGCATGTCAGGACATGCCTGACAGGGATGTTCAGCCTGGAGAGTTGCCTGTCCTGCCTTGGGATAGGGAAAAAAAGGCAAATCCCTGAATCATGGAATGGTTTGGGTTGGAATGGAACTTAAACATCACCTAGCCCCAACCCCCTGCACGGGCAGGGGAAGATGGGAGATTGAGATGAGATGATTGGGAAGAAATTCTTTGGTGTGAGGGTGGTGAGAGCCTGGCCCAGGTTGCCCAGAGAAGCTGTGGCTGCCCCATCCCTGGCAGTGTTGAAGGGCAGGTTGGATGGGGCTTGGAGCAGCCTGGGCTGGTGGGAGGTGTCCCTGCCCATGCAGGGGGGTTGGATCTAGACGATTTTCAAGGTCCCTTTCAACCCAAACCAGTCCATGGCTCTATGAAATCATGCCTAGAAAGGAGAAGGGAACGGAGGCACTAACGTAATTGTAGGAAACCACCTCATTGCTCCTTCCCAGGATTAAATGGGGCAGTTTTTTGTAAAGATTTCCTTTTTGAACACAAAAAGACAGATGCCTGGTCTCCTTTTGCACAAGGACCATCCAGACAATGAGAGCTAAATGAGATCCAAGTACAGTTCTGTGTAGTCTGGGATCCCTTTTCTTCAAAAGACAAAGGAACAATGAAGTGATAATGCCAGAGAAAAGGGAACGGGGAGCAAGCTGACAAGATGCAGAGGAAAACAGGACGAGCAGAAGAATGAGAACATTATCTGGAGAAGAATAATTTGAGTTAAACACACAGCCAAGGCAAACTCTGGGCAGAGTTGGATGTTCCCATCTCTTGGCTATCTTGGAATACTGATGCTTTTCTTACTGTGCTATAATTAATAATTACCATGACATCCTGCTGGGTGAAGACTCCCAGAGTATTCAAGCATTACGGCTGGAAAGACACTGTGTAAAAACAGTTGAGAAATAAATGCCTTACAAAATATTAGAGAAGTCAAGCAGTCTGAACACCAAACCCTGGGCATGTGCTCCCAGTTTGGTTCCTTACAGAGATACTTGCTGAATCATTGTCAGTGGAGGATGCAAGATCTCAAAACCTGCTTCATTTATGATGCCCATCCTCTGTTTTGTCCCTGGAACTTTTGGAGGACTCATCGATTTAATTGGACATGAAATTAATGTTAATTTTTATAATAATAAAGAAGTGGTGAAGTGAATTATATTATGAAGGAAAACAGATCTTCAGCTTCTATTTCTTAACAGAAAAAGGGAGGCATCTCCATGTGTCCTTCAGGTTAACTTGGACTGACCATTTCAGGGCTTCTACTGTCTAATAAAAACTATTCTGTCCAGTGTCTCACCACCCTGACAGCAAAGAATTCCCTCCTAATACCCAATTTAAATTCCCCCTCTTTAATACAACTTTAAAAAACATATTTCCATAGAATCAGAGAATCCTTTTAGTTGGAAATGACCTCTTAAGATCACCCCGTGCAACCAGTCCCCCAGCCCTGCCCAGGCCACCCCTGCCCCATGTCCCTCAGCACCACATCTACACGGCTTGGAAACCCCTCCAGGGATGGGGACTCCAGCCCTGCCCTGGGCAGCCTGGGCCAGGGCCTGACAACCCTGGCCAGCAAGAAATGCTGCCCAACATCCCAGCTCAGCCTCCCCTGGCACCACTGCAGCCCATTTCCTCTTGTCCCATCCCTTGTTCCTGGGGAGCAGAGCCCGACCCCCCTGGCTCCAACCTCCTCTCAGGCAGCTGCAGAGCCAGAAGGTCTCCCCTCAGCCTCCTTTGCTCCAGCCTGGACACCCCCAGCTCCCTCAGCTGCTCCTCCTCACACTTGTGCTCCAGACCCTGCCCCAGCTCCCTTGCCCTTCTCTGGACACGCTCCAGCCCCTCCAGGTCCTTCTTGTCCTGAGGGGCCCAGATCTGCACCTCCATTTAGAGTCATCCACAGTCCAAAGCAACAAATATCTGTAAGTCTAACCATGTTACATTTAAAAGTCAGAGATCTAACAGTGCACTTTTTCCTTCATGGTGGGTTCCATAGGAATGATACTATGCAGTATTATGACAATCAATGTACACATCCAGGACACAACTGCCTTCTAAAAAAATCCCACTTCTCACTCTGCTTTCCCAGCACAGCAATTTTCCAGCCAACCGGTATTTTCTGCCAAATAACTGCAAGAGGTTTCTGCCTGTTGAAATGGCACAAGGACAAATGCTGTCGAAAAGGCAGTTAAACACTTGGCACAATCTGAGCAGGAAGAAACTTATCTGCTTAAAAAAACCCAAACCCAGGCAGGGATGGGGAATGCAACAGGCTGTAACCACACAGGCTAAATAGGGGACAAAACCAACAATCAGGAAAGCCACAGTGTAAAGTCTTCATGCAAAAAATCCTGAGGAAATGAAGTGAACACAAAAAAACTATATGATATAGCAAAAAAAATATATGATGGAAATGCAGGCTGACAAAAACCCACAGAATCATAGAACAGTGAAAATTGGAAGGGATCTTAAAGCTCATCAGGTTCCAACCCCCCTGCATGGGCAGGGACACCTCCCACCAGCATAGGTTGCTCCAAGCCCCATCCATCCTGTCCTTCAACACTTCCACCCTCACCTCACCCTGAATTCAAAGAAGCAAAATCATCTCTTGACTTTCTACTTCCCCTGTTGGCTCTGAGTGTCCCTACAAGGTCATTTGCTCCTCTGGCCAGACCAGGCCTCCTTTCCCAGCCAGGCAGGCTGGAGGAAGAGTCAGAGGAAGGTGCATCAAGCACAGGGATGGCATTTTACATCATGTTTCTGTTCCTGTATTCATGTAGAATCCATGGAATCATCCTGGTTGGAAGGGACCTTGAAAATCAAGTCCAACCATAACCTAAATCCCTCTACCATAACCTAATTTACCTGCTCAGTGCTTAAATCATGTTGCTAAGCACTATATCTCTATATGGGGACAACCCATCCTCTGACCTGAGGCTGAAGGCAACCCCATGGATGAGGAAACAGAGGAACAGTGACGGTGGAGGTTGCTCTTCTTCATTCTGAGCCCTTATCCATGATGCCTCATTGCAATTCTTCACCTGTAACATTTTCAGTGAGACCCACCCATTCAATATAATCTGCAAACATAACAATTTGTAATTGCCAACTACTTCCTTCATGAGCAGATCTGACTTTAAAGGCAATTTTGTCAACAATGGGAAAACAAAACGACACACTTAACACCTCTCAAAAAGTCAAACAGTGCTGAATTAACCCCAAACCAGACAAATCCTGCCATTCTTCTTTTTACCAAGGAGAAAGGAAGAGGAAAAATGGGGTAACCTGATACAGATCTGCTCCATCCACAAAAAGCAGAGATGAATGGACAGCTTTGGTTCATTTCCCATCACATGATTTTCAACTAATTTATGCACACTAAGGAATATTTCAAATAATTACGGTTTTCAATACTGAACAGTTACCAATTCCATGCCTGCCTGTAACTCAGCTATTAGAAACTCCAAGGTGATGGACTCTGGCTTGTGGAGACAAGTCTGCTCTCCAGGGAATTCCACCTTGAGAAGATGACTTTACAGCATCCAGTTATAATGATGCAAACTTCCCTTTCCTCTTTCCGGGGAATTTCTACTTTCAAATAATTTACTTTCTTTTTAGAACCTTTAAGAGAAGCATATGTATCTTGTTTGTATTCACTTTGGGAAGCTTCCAAGAGAGCTGTCTGAATTTCCTGCATTTTCAGCAGAAAATCAAGACCTTCAACAAAACAAACTAGGTCTGCCAAAGGAGTGGAAGAGAGGAGGGGCAAGAAAGAAGCACCCAAGAAAGCTGCTCTTACATTCAATGAACTTCAAATCCAACCTTTGGAGACACAAACGTTCTCTTCATCTATTTTATTGGCATATCCTCTCTGGCTGGTGTTTTTCAAACCCAGATAACTTTTGGTTGGATGGTTGAATTGTGGGAAGTAGGTATTAAGTGAAAAATTGCCATGCTCACATTGGATATCACCTCCAAAACTAAGCCCAGCAACTTAATCACTGCTCAGAAATGAAAGCAGAGCTGTCACACCTGAGCAAAGTTTGTTGCGAGACACTTTGCTAAATAAAATTGCCATGCTGACCCTCACTGTTGTTGGTTTGAAATAAACAGTTCAGCTGGAAGGGCAGCTTCTCATTCATGTCTCACCAT